TATAGAGGTTAAGGATTTTGAGCTTGATTTTATGACTATTTAGCCAGATGTATGTCTGTTTAAAATGCAAATGCAATTGCAGGCCTGGTTTCTACATGTAGGCAATTACCTTAACAGATATAGAGGCAGCATAATTATATCTGCAAGTGTGCATAATTCACTGTGTCTGTGTATACAGTTATCTGATTTGTTCATGTAACTGCAATAATTGCACATGCATATACTTCTATGTCTGAATTATCTGAGAAATTTAGCCTGATGTGGGTTTTGTGCTAATCCATTCCACATGATTGTAATTTCCACGTTCTAAACATAATACTTAACTTGAGACCATTGTTAAAATATTAGATATATAAACAGTTGAAAACTTCCGTCATTCTGTAAACTGGACAATCTATTGACCAAAACAATCTATTATCCTGGGCAGATGTTTTCTCCCACAATATGTAGGATTATAAACAAAAACTATGAAAACTGAATTTCCTAAATGTTATTTCCCTACTAAAGAAACTGCAATTACAATTTTTACCAATGTCTTTTTGTTACTGATTTTAATTCAAAAGAATTCAAAAGTGAGGAAGAAAGCATAAGCAATTTTCTGTTGAATTGTGGTGGTATGATATCAGGTGGAAGCTTTTTGAGACTAGTTTTTTTTCCCCTGTGTGCATCCCACAATTGTAAATAAGAATCTGGTAAATCTTTTATTCTGGCAGACAAAAAAAAATAAAATTAAATCATGTCTATCTTATCTATGAGGATCATTGCTTCTTTGCACATTTGCAGATACACTAAATGCAATTCCAGCATGATATATTTTGCTAAAATTGCTATTTTTTCCTGGTGTTCCTCTTCGATAAATCTGATGTATACCTCAAACATTGCAAACTCATTCAAGTGTAAACTGGATCAAGTGTATTACTCTGTAAAACCTCTGTAAAAACTCTGTGTGTTTTATACTACTTAGAAAGTGTGGTTAAAGGATTACTAGATACTTTGCTAAATAGTTAGTCCACTGTTTTGGACTCAGGAAATATAATTATTCTTACCTTTATTCCCGTATGTATCATTAATTTATGTCTAAATTTTTAAAAGAAAGTTCCCAGTATTGGCTGTGAGAAAGCACTTGTCTACCAAGTCCTGATATACTTATTTTAAATTCTTACCACACTCCCTCCTTCTTTAGATATTACTGGTAGTATAAGGGCACAAATAGAAAAAGTTTTCTGGAAAGTAGTTTTTTTATGAAACCTCAGAACATCCTTAATGTGGGAAAAACCTAAATAAATGGAAAACTAATACTAAGGAAGGAGAAAACAGCGCTATATTTTCTGCTGATTCTGCTGGTATATTAATATATGGAAGAAAGCATTTAATAGTTCTTTTCAGAGTCTAATTTGATCTTTCATGCAGAAGATAAAAATCTACTGTCAGGCAGAAACTAGTGAAAATGTATTGGTAGGCTGTGATTATTTCTTGGTAAATATTTTTCTGTTTGTTCATTCCACTGAATACTAGAAGAGCAGTACAGAAATTCCTTGCATTACATGTCCCAGTAGAATTCCATGAAGTATTTAAGTCATATGAAAGCAGCTATTGTAAACCTTTCCTTTGTTGTCCCTTTTAAAGCCAGCAATTAAGACCAGTAAGGAAGTTATCCAAAACATTTCTGAAATTATTAGCATTCCTTTATTGCATTAATCCTAACCTACAGACAAAGATATATGAATTACATTATCACATCAACTAAGCATTTGAGTATCTCATGATGAATTACATTATCACATCAACTAAGCATTTGAGTATCTCATGAGATAGATATTAGAGGCAAAATTAAGGAGAACCTCGAAATCAAGCTTGCACATTTTAACTACTAAAAAAGTCACTAGCTACATCTACTCTAACTGCTGGCCTGTAGAAGTTTCATTATAGTTTTTTTCAAGATGCATATTCTGTTCCCAAGTTTAGTTTAGTTGCTATTCAGTTGCATCCTTGTTTTATGTACATGGAGTTTTATGCCTATTTGGCAAAAACAAACATATGCTTGACTAATTTCCCATGTAAAGATGAAAATTTGAGGGAAACAAACTCAGTGTCTGTATTGGCAGCTGTAAAACTCTTTATGCAGCTAAGGGATTGAGTTTGTAGTGTCACCTTAGACTAATTTAAGGTATTGGCAAGGAAGGCACATCTTAGATTTTGGGAATCTGAACTGGGCTATGCAACTGGGAATCTGAAGGGCTGGGTAATTTTACACACCTGGATGGTGGGTTTGTCTGACAAACTAGTTCATCAATTATCAGTCTTCATTTAAAAACATCTACAGCAAAGTGAAGCCAACTCCCCAAGTCTGACTAGATATGCAAATGGTTTTATTTCATGTATACTCTCCAGATATATTTACTCAGTTTCTGCTTTGCAAAAATTAAATTTTCCTATTTTAATCTAACTGACTTTTTCATAGCCACTAATCCTTCAGATTTTAAACATTAGTAACTCTTTCAATAAGCATTTAATCTTTGCAGTTTGTTTTCAAGTATTCTAAATATTCCATATATCCATAATAATTACTGAAATTTCGAGGTAAGAAGTTGGTTTCAAGTATTTCAAAGCAATTGGAAAACATAAAAGAAATGAAATAACATCCCTAGTTCTTCAGCTCAAGACTTGACACCTCTTTGAAAGATAAGTGTTAGGTAGAACAGAAATTGTTGAAAACTGTACAAGAATAAGGAGTTGTAATTCAAAGATGTGTGTCATGCAAGGCATCTAATGGGGCCTTCTGGCCTTGAAAATATGAATCCATGAGTATAAATCTCTGAAACATAAAATGAAATGTTATCAAGATTTTGTCAGGCAAAATATTTTGTCACTTTTCACAATGACAGCTGCAGCATTTTCCTAGAATATATTTCTCAAGAAGATGCCACTTTATTTGCAGAAAGAAGTTTCCATTTTAGCTGGTTAATGAAGCATTGTGTTTAGAAGTGCTTCTTTTTCAGTAAGCTGTCAATCTGCTTTGCTTAAAGGGTTATAAAAGTATTTACCCATTGTGTGAATTCACGCTTCCAGGTATTTTCAAAATCTGTTTTCCTCATCAGCATCTAGGAGAAAAAAGAGGAAGGGAAAGGAAGGCCTTAGGGACGTCACAGATGCTCTGTGATAAGCTTATTTGAAGTGTGAATGGACCTTGGCATGCTCTGACCCTTCTCTTATATCTTGTTTGCCTTTTTGACAGTATGAGGGAGACAAGAATGCTAGAAGTGTTGTCTGCCAGTGCAGATTACCCAAGTCTGAGATCTTACTGGAACAACGTGGAGAGGTGTACCAATATTTTGGAAAGAGCTCAGGTTTAGACTACAGCTGAAACTAAGTAGTACACCTAAAAAAGAGAATGTAGCTATTTGAGACATAGCTATAATAACAATACATAAATGCAAGGTAGATGGGGTCTCAGATTTAATACCATAAGGGCTTTGAAGTCTAAGAACCATCAAGTAAGAGTTTGCTGTAGTGCCTGTCCAAAATATCTTGTACTTCATGCCAAGAATTTTATTTCTAGACATATGTTCCTCCAGTTCAGCCCTCTTGATCAAAGCCTTTTCCCGTCTAGTGGATTCTGCATTAGGAGGTGTCAGTCATCTCCTTTTGTGCCCCTGAATCTTGTCTGAAATCTTGCATTTCTTCCTGCAGTGCTATCAGTGGTGGGTGGCATTGAACCTTTCAGTTCAAGAGGTAAGCAGAGCCACTTCCCCAGCTCCTCCTTGGACACCTGATGGCGAGAAGGGAGCTGGTCATCCCTGACTCAGGAAGGACTTGGAAATGCATGTTCAAAAAAGCCAATCAGACAGACAGCCCAGTCTAGTATGTGAGCAAATCTCCAGGGAAAACGCAGAATTTCATTGTTCATGCTCTTTAATAATTTTTCTGACTAGTTTGACCTTCTGTTCTTTTTGCTAGCTGTGATGGTCCTGTTCCTAGCTCGTGTCCCACCCCAGCCTTCTTGGTGTGTGTTGTACAGTCTCTGCGGGGTGAATTCCAGGACCAGAGCCACAAACCCAAATCCACACATGGCAAGACTCCAGGGTCATTGTGCATCCCAAAATTTTTCTGAGGCTAATTTGAGCCCCATTTGACTGGTATTTTAATGACAGCTGGTTTCTAGAGCACGAGTGTTAAAGGCCTTGGCTTTACAATATGGCTGTTTAAAAACCACATATTTGTGCATTTGTACTATATAAAGTATGCCAACTTTGTTAAGTATGTCACACACAATGCTTTCTAGAACACTGCCCTTTTAAGAAAATCTCTAACATTAGGAGAAAAAAAAAGTATTGGGAAGGGCATGTCAGAGTAGAGATAGATAGATATGTGTACGAATTCCCTCGCACTAAGGCAAGAGGAGTCTGTTCCAGAAAACTACATGGGAAAACCATGCTAATATTTGAAGCTCTAGAGTTTTATTAATGAAAAAAGGAGGTTATAATGTCATTCCTTTAAAGAATCATATGCAGAGGTCTTCTAAATCGGAGAATATAGTGAAAAATATTAGCCTGATAATGGGCCTTTCTTTTGCCTACCAACAACCTCTGATCTCCAATGTAAGAGGCTGCGGATGTTTCTTTTTATTGAAAATTGACCTTAGACGTGTACCTTGTGAAGAGTAACACTGAAACCAATGTTAAAAGTAGCAGTTCATTTAACACAGGACAACAGATTTTTTGTGGTTGGGTGATAACATGTAAAAGTCCCCAGGCACTGAGAGCAGGCATTCTAATAGTTTAAAGCAAAAATGAAACACTAGATCATGCATTTTACCTTGATATGTCAGATGGAGAGATTTCACCCTGTAGGGCATGATCTGGGCTGAATCAGGGATGGTGCTGATCTATAACCAGTTTTTTTGGGGTTGGACTTTCCATTCAGACATATTAACAGTTATGGAACAAACCTTTTCTCTTGATAATTTTCTTCATTAACTTACTCCTGACAATGTTCAAAGAGTGGTCATAATTTTTCATTTGAATTTGTCTGGTTTCAGTTTTTGCCACTGGATTGGACACTCTTCAGAGAATAGCTCCACAAGAAGGTTTTATACAATACATTCAAATTCCCTTTCTGTCTGCATGTCTGCATTTTTATAAAGTAAGCAGAAGGAATTTTCACAGTCTCTCACAGAAAGACATTCCCTTCCACCTTTAAATATGTTTATGGTTTGTTTTCTGAACGATTTGATAATGTCATTTTTAAAAAATAGCTAGCTAGAAAATGCTAGCCTTAACTGACTCTGCAGTGTTACAAGTATGCTTTTTTTGCCATTGCAGAAGACTGTTATGCAAACCACTGAAAATGAATGTCAAATTGCTCATCCAGCACTTCCTGTCTGAATCTCATCTTTCCAGGATATTGTCCATCATTCTGTAAGTAGTCACATCTTTCTAGATTTTTTACTTTACGTTTAGTGGTGTTTAAATTAATTTTGTGAATTTACTAAGCAATATAGGAATGCTTTATGTTATTGTCTTGATCCACTAATTATCCATTTTTTCCGAATGACTTTGCAAAGTAGACTAGATTCAATGCTGTGTTTAATTTTTGATCAATGACAGAGGTGCTGAATAACACAGAGTACTGATCACCATTAAACAGAGTTCCTACACTGAGGTAAACTATAGCCAATTCATAATCTGTTCAATGTACATCTTGCTTATTTTTTATAGAGCTTTTTTTTTTAAGAAAAAGTGTGTCATGCAATACAAAGTTAAACCCCAATGCTCCTGAGAGCTTATGTTATGCAATTCTGAGGCAGACAGAAATAAAAAAACTGAATGGAAGAAAAACCTTTCTCGGGCACTTTTCTTCACAATGAACAGCTGAGAAATCGTGCTGGTTTGACAAGATATGCTTTTGAAATAAACATTCTGACTGGCCTTAAGTAAATCCTTGTCTTTCCTGACTTTTAGTTGATTCCCAGGTCAGATTTTTCCATTAGTCTTTTAGAATATAATAAAGTACCTTAAATTAAAATTAGGTACCTTAAATTAGGATTAGATTCATGGTCACTTTCTGGAATTCTTCGTACGCTTTTTGATCCCCACCAGTATAATGAAATATAGGATAATTGACATATTTCAATTTTCATTCATATTCCAATGACTTGAAACAGAAATTTTTAAAAGAAACCCTGGAAAAACATTAAAATTTATGTTAAACATTTTATTTTCCTTGTAAGAAAGAATCTTCAATGTATTTCACTTATTTTTTTTAAATTAGAGGTTTTTTTTGTTGCTTTGCAGATAATTACCAAATGTTTGCTATGGGCAGTGAAAATCTGGTTCCCATTTCCTACAAGGGCCAAAAATGTAGTTTTGTTGGAGATGCAGAACATTTAATGTGGTATGATATCAGTTTCATATGGGAAAATACCGTATGCTGCTCCACTCAAATTGTAGTCTCACATTGTGTCAGCTTCCATGACGACAGCAGTTTAAAGAATTTCCAACCTCTTCATCTCCTCTGCTGTGCTAACATAAGCTTTCATGAAGCTGGACTCTTGGCTGAAACAGTGAAACAATGCAGGCCAAAACCACCCCAAGGTAAAACCCTTTTACTTTCAAGCCAGGCGAGCTCACTGATCTTGGTGGCATTGCAGCCTCACAAAGAATTGTGTCAGCTCAGCTGAGCCTGGAGGTGGGGTGGGGACACACACATAAGCAGCTGGGACAGAGATGCACACAGAGAACTTCTTGTTCTTCCAATCTAGTTACACAAAACTGGCAATGTTAAAGCAGTGTGAGTTTTAGTTAAAGCTAGGTATTAGCCAGCAGCATGACAAATGCAAAGTACAAACGTTTCACATCAAGATTTGCCCCAATTTCTGGGAGGGAATTTGTATTTAAATTATTATCTTAGGTGAGCTGGCATGCCTGAATGCAAAACACAGAGATTCATGTTCAATTGTGACAAAGAAAAGTAGCAGCACAAGTCTTCCATTCATGTGTTGTTTAAATCATTCAGGTCATATAAAGGATCCTGAGATGTATTTTTCTAATGTAAAGGAAACCTCCCTGCCGTATCGTCTACTCTGGTCGTTACTCTTGCACTGCCTCCAGGCAGTGATATGGGGTCATCTTTCTAAATTTCTGTATAGCTGTGAAAAGAAAATTTCTTAGTTTAACTAAAGCTATTACTGTTTGTCTCAAAACTACCTCAGGGTATAGAACTTGTATGACCAGTGTATATACACATGTATAACTTCTGCTGGTTTCTGTCTACATTTCTAGTTCAAAATGTAAAACTCTGGGATCAGAATTTATATTGGATCATATCCAAATTATCCATCCCTATGTCAAAGCATCCAAATTTTATATAACTCATTTTCAAATTAGACAGCTTTTTGATTTTTTTTCAGATTTCAATAATGTAATCTTGTCCAGAAGATGCCATCCTAATTACATGTAATTAATATAATGAGATTACACATGTCTGTGTGGAAAAATAGGTTTTTCTTCCCTTCTGTTGCCTAACCAAAGAGATAAAAAATTAATCTAGTAAGTGGTTGAACCTAAAAAGCCACTTTCTTGCTACCAGTTTATAATACTCTAATTATCCTGTTAATTGCTGGAATTTTTTTACTTTTCATTTGCTCAAAACACTTGTGTGTGATTGAACATAAATATATATCTTCTTTTATTTTGCCATGCTTAATCACATAATTCCTCAGAGTGATGTTAACTAATGTCAAAATGATTTATTATAACTATTCTTCTACCTCTCTGTCTTGATTTTTATATATTATGATATCCTTTTCCATAATGAAATATTTTTGTCTCACCTTATATGTATTTAGCCACCCATCCTTCTCTCAGTGTCTCTGTAAATATTGAAAATAAAACAGGATGTTTGAAGCAGTTTTTAAACTATGCATATTGCATATATTTATGCAGAAAATAGAGTGACTTCAGTAATAACTGGCAGAGACACATGTATAATGAGCAAACTTTAGTGGCATAATTTTCCACTTCATTATATGTTTGTTTTTTTCTCTTCAGCTGAGGTAATTTAATGTCCATTTTCTTCCTATTGTTTGTCAACCTGTTTGTTTGTGTGAAGCACTATAAATACAGTCTCAGCATGTTGCCATAACAATTGTTTTATTTTCATTCATGTAGTAGAAGCTTGATGAGATTGTGAAACTACCACATAAGCAGTTTGAAGGACAAGCATCTGAGATGTATGACCACAGATAAGTAAGGGTCCATGTTTTCTATATTTTCTAGGCTGCTTTAGTACAAGACTGAGCCTAATTTGAAACATCTTTAAGCTTACTAATAACTTCATTATAACGCTGTTCATTTGAAGAAACAGAACGAAGACTAAATTTTATAGTGGGTCCTACGGAGACACATGATGGTTTAATTTCTCTCCCTCTTCAAACCTCTGATGAGAGTATGGCATCTGTGGGTTCAAAAGTGCCATATGTAAATGATTGGATTCTTTTGCAGAAGTAGCTAGGTGTGGTGGTTGCTGTTTAAAGGTCTGGCTGACACTCTGATGACTTATGGATGTGACAGCTCCGTTGATTTCAAGGCCATTTGAAGTCGATGGGAATACTTGCAACGTGTAAAGAAAAAATGCAAATTCTTCCTCCATCACAAAGTAGTTTCACATGAAGAAAGGGCTGCACTGTTAAATGACAAACACAAACTCTAAAATGGTAGTTTTCTACAGAGAGAGTATCTGAAACCAGAAATAATTAATTTGGTGTAGCTGATCATTATTTGAACAATTTTTCTAACTGAAAAGAATTTCTGCCAAAGGTCAGTATGGAATTTCCAAGCAGAAATGTTAAACTGTGTGCATATTTATTACTTGAATTATGTGAATGATTTTTTTTTTCTGCTTTTGTGCACTTTCTAGTTAGATGTTTGTAGGACAATATCATACTTTTCCTAGACAAAGTGACATATTGGGTCGGTTTTTGCTACTGACCTAGGAAAGATCTACACATATCCAGAGAAACAGTGCTGCAGGGTGTCCCTGTGCCTGAACTGAAATCAATTAGGCGTTAATATATTTTGAGACAATATTAAAGACAAAAGCACCTGCTGCAAAATGACACTTGCTTGAAGAGAGTGAGAACCTTAATCTGGCAGTTTAGCAGCCACTTCAGCATGAATTTTTGTCTTCACATTGGTGCAATGGATTGGAGAAGGGATTTACAGATTTTTCCACTCACACAATGATAATCACTTTCTTGGATTTTAACATCAGAAGAGACCAAGTCATGTAGTCAGTGCTGCCCACACAAACCCATAGTGTTTCCCCTGAATCTGTCTTCAAGAATAATAGTGATGGATTATCTAGCAAAAACCTGTTGGAATCACAGGCAATCTTGATACTTAAAATTCTAGTAGAAGAAATGCACACATCTACTGGTAAGTGCTTAATTTCAAATATTTTTTATCTTCTTTCTTGCATCTTACCTAAGCTTCCCTTCACCAATATCTTGTTCTCTTGCTACTCAGTCCTATGGTAGACTTCACTAAGACTTGAGGCTTCTGCTGCACCTCCACATCAGGTTGATATAACTCATATTTTTGTGTCACTAATTTATTTCTTCCTCTTGATCAGCAATGTTTCAGGTAACAAATCTGCTAATCTCTCTAACAACAAAATTCCTTGAAATAATGTGTATATAATTTTACATGTACTTCAAATAAGTGTCTACAGATGTAGTCATCCTTATTTCTTACATAAATGAACAGACAGAACCAGCACTAAATCTGAGCCCATTTAATGTTCTACCTATAGGAACACGATCTATAAGCACTGCTTGTGAGTTGTTGGTGGCAATTAATACCTCTTTGTTTCCCTTCCTTCTTTATTATCTGATCCTTTCTAAATGGCTGAAGAAGTGGTTTCTAAATATTTAATCACACAAAATTTCCCGGAAGGATTAAGTAGTATTATTTAGAATTTGCTGCAATGAGCGAGCAATTCTGCTTTTTGTCCTGTTTATTGTATTAGTGGATAGGCATTTCCCACTGCTGGGGGATTTGGTTGCTTGTTTGCATATTTTTGAGCTTCCTCTCAATGAAACCAACATTTGGGTAAAACAATTAATGATTTCTTAACCTAAGAAACTGACTGTGCAGTCAAGTGGAGACCTGATGGATAACAGTGAGGGCACAGCAGGATCGTGCTCTGTGTTGGTGTCACTCACTTCCAGGGAGGCTGGACATATGCCAGAGATGCTACTGAAGTTGTTACTGAAACTCCACAATGCAAGCCAATGAACACCCAGTATCACCTGTTTCAAGCATTTCTTTGCCTTGCAGACACATCTATAGTCAGCCATGGGAGGGACAAGTTAGTTTAATATACAGTATTTGGGTCAGTGCATTGAAATGTAATAGCTGTGAAATTGGGAAATATGAAAACCAAAAGCAAATGTATGAACAGCAGCAAAGGAGAAAAAATTCCTGATTAACTACAGACATTTTGGTGATCATGTTTAGGACAAATTTCAGGAACCTTCCCTCAGCAGCTAAAGAAGTCTTGAAGAAATAGTAGTCAAATGGTAGATTCATAATGGTAAGGTGTTTTACAGCAGAGCTTTCTGAATGTAGGAATCCTGCTGAAAAATACATCATTGTGAATTGGAAAAGGATGCTTAGGACTTTTTATTGTCTTTCACTCACTAATACAGCATACCTGTGTAAGACATTTACAGAATAAAATATATTAAAAAACAGAAAATAGGAAATTATCCTCATTCTGCCATTGCTTTAAACTGCTTTATATCAGGAAATAAACCTAGAAAGAAAAAAAAAATAAAAGAGTATTCTGCTTCAAATTGTTGGGGCTTTGTTCTTTTACCATTTTAATCTCCAAACTCACCTTAGAGGTCAGCATTTATAAATGTTTAAGAAGTCAGATTTAATAACTGTTTAATGAAAAAATAAAATTAATTTCAAGATCATGGAACAACAGAGGGTTTCAACTGTTACTCAGCTGTTTACAAAGTTGTTGAAAGGGTTAAGTAGGATACTATCAGTCATGCATATGAAATTTAGAGTGAGAGGAGGCAAGAGGATTTGAGGTTGTTCTCCTTCAGTTCATTCAAGGTTCACTGAACAGGAAAGTGAATTTTTATTATCACTTCCTGTGAATGAGAAGTTGACAGGACCCATCAGGGAACTGCCAGAAACCTCAAGAGTTTTGAGTATGAAGCCAGAGTCCACTGCAAAGTTTCCATGACAACACACTCATTAAAATAAAAGGAAATTGTGCCTGATATTTACGGCTTTCAGCATACAGTTGAAAGCCTTGTATCTCAGATTTCCAAAGTATTTACACCTGGGACCCAGGAATGCAGGCTGTCAAGAAATAAAGGGTAGTTGTAACATTTAGCTGTGAAAGTGGAAAGGTTGTTTGCAGGTTAGATTTCAGCATTCTTCAATTTCTTGAATTGTAGTGAACATCTCTTCCGTCTCTTTCTGTGGTGTGCTAAAGGGTGAAATGGGCTTAATATTAGCTTGAAAACAGACTTGAGGAAAGGTTTTAGTGAGAGCAGTTTTACTGAAGTAGGGATAGTCTTCCAAGACAAAGGACTTAGCTCTGAAAATAATCAAATTAAACTTATTTAGCTACAAATATCTAAACTTCAAAAGATAAATCATCACTGATACTTCCTCAGGCTTGGCAGCAATCACCTACATTGTGGTAATGAAACACAGAGATGAAGAGTGACAATAATAATATAGATTGTTTATTTGAGGTACTAAAGTCCCACTGAGTTCTTCTCTTGTATCCCCACTCCTTACACTGCCCTTTTCCACTCTCTTCCTTAACAATCATTTTGGCTCCCTTTTTATGGCTTTATGCCAAGTTATCTTATTTTTACACAGTTAAGAAAGCTCAGAATGGGGATAAAATAATTAAGTGGAAAAGAACAGGGATGCTAAGCCAATAACAGAACTAGAAAGTATTTTCTGACCTGGGCCAAGAACAGATCTTACTGTCCCTGATTCTTCAATTTCTGCAATCATACAAGAGGTCAGGCTATAACATTACTGGTTTTTATTTTGGCCTTTGAATGGATGAGTCTCATACTTATCAGTTAACAGTAATCAAGTAAATTGCTCTTAACAGATATTGTAACAGAGTTAAAGAAAAGCAAAATACCTTACAAATAGATACAGGCACATGTAAATATAATTCAAATTACCTAATTGTCCAGCATGTACCTTAATTGTACATTATACTGAGCCTTCATCTTCCCTGACTGTACAAGTATCTTGCCCAAACAGGTATCAAATGGTAGTGTGTGAATAACATCTTGGATAAACAAAAACATCAGTGAGGGATTTGTGTCAGCTGCTTGGGAGGATATGTTTATGTGTGCGATTATATCAGAATTAGCCTGTTTATAGCTTCTGATATGGTAAATTGCCTGCAAGGTCAGACAGTTGGACTCCTCTCTTTCCCTTGGTCCCAGTGTTTGGGCTTTGACGTCCTTTGG